CCACTCGAACCCCTGCTCTTTGCGCGACGAATTTTAAGGAACGAAGTCGAAACGGGAACTGCTTGGAAGAATTTATCAGCACAAGTTCGATGGAAAGTTTGTACAGGTTTGGAAAAGGAATGGTCCTCGGGGGTGATTTATTAAGGGAGGAATTCTATCGTTTAAGAAAGTATAATACTATAAATTCGACAAGTTATTAAACAGATATGCAAAGCGTTCCGTGTATAATTTCGAAGTTTGGGAACAACATTTTCCTATGCTGGGATTATCTAATCTCCGAAGGCAACGTTTGTACGTCGAACGCAGAGAGCCACGAATATTTGGCCGACACTCGGTATGGTTGAACGATGAGGGTGCACTGGGGATGATTCAGTGCAACGAGGAGGGTAGAGGCGCGAGGGTGAGAGAAATCGGCGAGCTGCAGGCCAGAAGGAGGTCTCGCCAGGATATATGGGCACGAAGGAAAAAGGCGTCGTTACCGGAGGCTCATTAACGGCGAACTATCCCCAAGACACCCCTGGCGGTATCTTCGAGCCAAGTCAGAAGCTCGTGGGATGTAGTTTGCGCGTGGAACAGCGCGAGGAAGCTGCACAGCTCCAATACTAATTAGTCCATCGGTTCGATCGTTCGCTAGCAGACGCTTCCACTTCCTTTTTTCCTTCTGGCTTCTTTTCACCGTCTCCATTCTCATTTTTCACCGGGGCTTTCAACGCTAGCTGGCTTCCTGCTGTTGGAAAATCAACTCGCGATAATATCTACGGGTTTTGCTATCAAAGAAGCATTTATTTCATTATTATTATACAACTCATAAATTGAATAATGGTATTTTGTAAAATATACACCGATTCGATCTCTGATCACGAATTCTCGCGGAAAGTTTGGTAAAAAGAGAAACGAGCAACGGGTGCTTGTCTTTCTTCCTTTTTCTTTCAACACTTTCCTCTTTTTTCTTGCGCGAAGCTACACGAAATTTGGACCGATGCCATGCCTAACTGTCGGAGCTCCTCCTTTCGCGAACGCTTCAGATTGCCGTTTCTGAAAGTTCGTCCAATTACCAGGCATTAGTCCTCGTTTCATCTCGACTTGGGCGCGAACAGAGCAATTTCCTCGTCGCCTCTGCATTCGTTATTGTTTCATTACGGGCTCCCGATTCTTTAAGATGCACTTCGCTTGTGTTTCCATCGGAAAAAGTTCGCTCAATCTGGACTTACTTTCGACCCGTTTCACTGGATTAAATTTAAAATATTTTTTTAATTAAAGTATGTACACTGTGTTAGACATCTTCCTATTACAAAGTGGCTAAATTTATTCAAAACTTCCCTTCAAGTGTATCTTAAAATATCGATGAATTATTGTGAATAGATAATTAAAAATTTCCGCAATAGAAAAGCGTCCTGGTAATGAGTACAGAATTCATCAGGCTTTCCGCGGCACATTAATTTGTAATAGTGCCGCGTTGACAGAAAAGCTGCTAATTTATTAGCTCGTACATGGACCGTTATAAATGCTAAGCTTCCATTTCGCTATTGGCTGAGTAGCAGACACGGATGGTCAGATAATGAACGGCCATGTGAGCGGCGGAATGGGGATAGAGGGAGATATAGAGAGGGGTAGAATCGATGGGATATTCAAGTAATGACAACGATAACGACGGTGACGATAATCAACGAGCAACACCCACGTCCCACGCAATTCGCTACAACAGCGACGATGACGAACGATAGCTAGAGGCCATTAAATTGATACTACCCGCTAATTGGTATCTCTAATTTCTATCGATCATTTATCGAATAATTTTTCCCTAGCTGGAAAAAAATTTTTCTATTCTGCTGTGTTAGATTTGAAAATAAAGTCAAATGACATTCAATATATTAATTAAACAACAGTTTTGTATAGAATATAGTTTGAAAAAGTATCGAATCCCGTTTCTCCATCGTACCTGTCAGTCAATGTTTGTCGCCAGTCTATCTTGCAAAAACGAGAAAACACAATTGAAGCAAACCGATCTGTCTGCCATCAAATTGATTGACACACTCGGCTGCGTCTTCGGAGCGTGTAAAAGTCGAGGCAACGTCGAAATAAGAAAAACGTCCCAGGGAACGGTAGCGAGCGTGTAGATAGCTAGGGGTACGAGTGGTAAGCTACATCGAGTCTTCTGTAAATCGAGTTTACCTCAGACGAACACCGCCATCATTTTCACGCCTTCGTTCGTCGTCCTTTTCGTTTTCCCCCGCGACCTAGCCGCGTAGCTGCGTAGAAAACCTTTTATCCCGAGAAATTACCGTGAACGGCTGAGAAAATCATCGTTCCTTCTCCCGCATTCTGGTTCTCCTTCATTTTCCTCGCTCAGCCTCCGAGGTAAAACACCTCCGTTACAAGTTCTACCCCCTTTTCGCCGGAGAAAACGCGACTTGGTTGCGTGTTGAGGTTGCAACAGTCGCCCCGACGACGTTTAGAAAATGCCTGCACGTACATTGTGGTTCGCGAGGGGTTGAAACGGGTCGTAAGAAGGAAATATTCAGCCGCGAGGAAATTTCCTGTATCCTCGTGAAAATTCGTTTAACCCTCCCTCTTCTTTCCGCGCTCTTTAAATCCTAAATGAAATTATGGTAACGCGATGGTGACATTATTCAGAGACCCTGGGTTTCTGAATTTGATAAAGTATTAAATATCTTGACTTTCACAAAGAAATTAATAATTTCATCTCGGTTTAATCGTTATCGTTACGGTTGTTTGTTAATAAATTGATTACACAAACTAACGCCACTGTCTGGAAGTAAAAATCGTAAGTTTTCGAGTTAAACTAGAAGAAAGTGGACCAAGGAGGAAACCGTAATTTTAACTTAGAACGGAAGAAGGAACCTCGGACCGAGCGTAACTGGTATTACGTTTCCCTCGGTAGAGCTCCAACAACATCCGTGTTTGCCAGGATCCCTAGGCTTTTGTGTCCCGACCCATCCGTCGGGAAAATATTTCTGTAATTAAAATGCTGGTGCGCGGACCGACAGAAGAATGTTCCAAGCGACCATAGCTTCGCGTTTCTGTCTTCTTTTATTTGCAGATTTCTCGCCTCGTTGTCCTATAATAGAGGGAAAATTCCACGATAACACGTCAGCCACCGTAGCCTCGTGTTCTCCGTAATCTCGACGCCGAGAGGCAACTTCGAAACTACTAGATTTATACAGGGGGTCGAAAGATTGCGGGACGAAAGAGCTGGAAGATATTTAATTTTCCCCCGTGGAACTGTTTGCTCTACTAGATATAAAAGGCGCGAAATGATAACTGGCCTATTCTTCCCGGGGAGCCGGCACAACGATAAAGGATAGCCGCGCTCGAAATTTATACTTAAAAGATTTCCCTCTTTCTTCTCGCTTTTGGGCCGCGCTCGTTACGGGTGCTCGCGTTTGCGGAATAAATTCGCGGAACATCTCTCCCGTGAAACGCGGCCTCAATTCGTATCAAAATAACGCGAATTTCGACGGAGAGGAATTTTCGGGGGTGGAAAAATTCAACTGCACTTTTCAAATTTCCGCGATGAAACGGATTATATTTTTACTGGTACCATTAGCGATGGAATTGTACGAAATTAAATCGGAGAAACGGGAAACATTATGCTCGGACCTTAAATTTGTCACCCTTACACGACACCCAAAGCTTCACCCAAGGCCCACCGTTTTGACGTCTACTTTTTTTGTCAACCTTTCCCCTATTCTCTGTCACCTTTCAACCCTCCTCGTCCTGTCCAACCCCTCCGGTCTGTGCGATTCGCGGAAGGATGCAGTCCAGAATAATTAACGAGGGTGAGAAGATCTTCTTCACGTTGAACATACGTTTAACGAGCCCCATTGCTAGGGTTAGAAGTGGCGGCGGCCATAAACGCAAAAGGGTTTGGAAAACGGAGCCGTAGGGGTGGTTCTCGGAAACAGCTTTCGAACGTCACGTACTTCTGTAATTGTTCAGCCAGCACGGGAGACATTTAACGATCACCATAAAAGCTGATAATCGGCCACAGGATGAGAAGTTCCAGGCATTTTTCGAATACGATCATTCCTTCCCAGATATCGGTTCTTTTATGAAATTTGTCGAACCATACCGGCCGATTCATTGCGGTCGTTGGCGTGACCAATTATTTCCGGGTAAAATAGTCGAGCGTGTCGCGATAAGATCTTCAATTAAAAAGACCGGGACACTTTTATTACGGTTCTAATGATCGTGCCGTGTACTTACTGCTTTTAACGGGAAATGAATTTGTAATACGGATAATAAACGGCTAAAGCTACGAAGAAATGGTATCAAATTTAAGAAATTGGAACGACAAAGAATCTAAAATCAAATTTAAACCTCTAAAATCTTAACAATGTGAAAATAAAATAATATAACTGCAGGGGAAATAATGAAGTTAATTAGCCGAATAGGAAAATGAAGTCTTAAATAATAAATTTACTTCAGCAAAATTAGGACGTTTTTGACAGGGAATTACGAATTATTTTCTATGAAAAACTTTTAATTGTTTTGCATGCCTGCGGCAGTGACATGAACAAACGACCCGTCACACGGTAGAATTTAATGTTTCGTCTACGATTTGATGTAGAATGACGTATGGGGTTACGGTAATGTCAGTAATGCTAGAACACGTCGAAAATTTGATCCGTCATACACGGTGATTTCATTATTAGATCGCCACAGGTGCGCCGATGGATCGATGGAAATGTTATTACTGGAACCGTTAACAGATTTAACAGATGTATATTCGTGTCAAACGTTGTTTCTATGGGTCTGTTTCAATACGATATCCTTGTAACCTTGCACCGTTGTGTGTGTTTGAATAATAATCTTGAAATCATACACGTCGTCCAGTGATTGAATTGTTAATGATCAGAAATTTCGTTGGTCGATATTTTCTAAACGTATGAAGTTGACTTTTTTCGATTAAAAAGACTTTGTTCCTATCAAGTTGCTACCATTTTATCACTGCTAACCAATGATACGTTTGCTTTCAGGTATCCTGGATACGTAAAAGGGATTTACATATACTCACCTCGTCGATTTACGCGTACACGGGAGACGAAAGATTTTCCGTGAAACATCCGGAAGCATCCGATGAATGGACGTTGAAGATCGATTACGTCCAGCAACGCGATGCCGGGGTTTACGAATGCCAGGTCAACACCGAGCCCAAAATGAATTTAGCCTTCGTGTTGAGAGTCGAAGGTAAAGCTGCAATTGCCTGACCATTCACCTTTCGATTAACCCTTTCGCGACTGAGCGTTAAATTAAAAGGAAAAGTTCGATGTTGATTAATTTCAGGAAGGTTTAAGTATTTTCTCATTAACTTGACTGAAATTAATTTCAAACTTATTAGCTGTCTTGAACGTATCAATATTTCTAAATAAAAAGTAATTAATTATTTGAGAATCGATCTCGCGAAAGGGTTAATCACAGTGTTCACAGAATCTCTGTACCGCTGTAAATATTTTGCGCAATTGGAGAATAGATGAGAGACAATTCCAAAGCTTCCATGCGTGTCTATCACCTGATCGATCAGGAAAGACACTTCCGGTATTCTGACTACGCACCAGCATGAGAAAAAGTACTGAAGCTTACCTTGCTTGCATGCCTGTCACCGTGAAACGTAACTTCTCTCAATAGGTCGGTATCCTATCAATTCTTTTCTTTCTTTTTTTTTTTCTTTTTTTTTTTCAAATCTTTCTTTCTCTTCAACCTCGTCGAATCATCGATCGGTAGAAATCAATATAACGAACGTTACAATACATACTTGCAAGCCGTCGATTTCGTCTACCGGTACTTCTGTTGGGCAATTAATTCGCCTAATTGATTGCCCTGTCAACGTCGAGTGCACGTTGCAACCACCATCACTGCGACAACACTTCAGGTTACAACAGTGATGACGTTTCAGCGCCAATTAAAAGTCCTCGTGAATTATCGAGCATCGTCCTTGTCCGCGTATTAAGCACGATATCAGTTTACCAGCGTCACCGAGATCGACATTAGCAAACGTAACGACGTGTTTCGTTACAAGATCAATCGTTTCGCTTCGCTTTCCCCTCGAATTTTCTCTCAACGATCGTTCAATTAACGTTCATTTCGTGATTTTAATTAATCGGGACTCGCGTTCGCTTTTCTCCATGTTACACAATAATAATTTTTAAAATAATGATAGTTTGAATTCAATTCGAAATGAATTAGAATTTTAAGCGGATTGCTTGCAAAGTTTGTTAATTTCTTTGTGGATCGTCCACGCGTAAACCGTTTCCGCGATTCACGAGGTTTTCGAAGGGTTCGCGTGCACGGGGGTAACGCTGTTCATTAATTATGTTCGTAGCCTCTGCGTGTACCTGTCCCTATCACGAGGCAGCGTAACGGCGCGTATAACAGTAATTGCTCGTCAGGTGGCTGGGATCGATATTTTCGGACGACGAAGCGATACAGTTACCTCGCTGATGAGGAATTAAATTATAAACGCGGTGTCTGCATTCGGACGACGTGAAACTTTGATGCGATAAAGTGGCCCTTGTAATCGAGCCTAATTACTTTCAGTTTAAGCACTTTCAATGAAATTTCCGGACAACACGCTTATAACTCGAAACTGGGATACCGTGTCTGTTTCGTGAATCAATATTCCTCAAGAATATCGCGTACGATATTTTACTTCGCAAGAACGTGTTAAATGAAACGACCGTACAAAAGTCAGATATAAAAAAGAAAGAAAGAAAATTGTATCAGAACATTCTCCTCGAGATATCCCGGTGGCAAGTCGAAGATAAATGCACGCGTTCCTCGAAAGAACCGCGAAGGTTGTTATCGCTCTCGAAGAAAGGAGGGCCACGAACAAACACCATGAATGAACAGCGATGCACGGTGCATACATAGCTACGTACATAGAGGTGAATCGCACGTTTACCTATATCGCGGTGCTTTCGTTGGCAGTTCAATCCCCGGGCCAACCACGAAACAGTAGATCTCTCACGAGGAAATCGATTAATTCGATATCTTTTCTGTCCTCCCGTTCCAGAACGTGCCCCTGTCCCTGCCACCACCACACCGAACGCCATTCACCGGACGTTCAACTCAGGTTAGAATCACGCAAGAACAGACTCCTTTTCCGAGCTGTTGAACTGGCTGCTATAGACGTTTTATTACGACCTGTATGTAGATTATGCCTGCCTGTCTCTCTATGTCTTTCTATCTACCCAATCTAACTGGGTGCCATTGGGTGTGTATATTCAGGGTGTCTCAGTTGAATACAAAGAGGTAACTGTCACTAAAAGTTCAATAAAATGGAATAATTAAAAAGATGAAACTGTAGGAAAGTTTATTATTTAATTTATTTATTCAAAGTATTGTTAATTTCAAATGTTTTCGAAGAAGACACCCAGTATATATACCCAGCTCGTGCTCTATCAGTGCATGCACGTCCTCGCCGTTTAGCGTTAATTAATGCACCCCTGGATGGTTTTGTTTTACGAGGGTAGGTCGAGCTGACTTTAGCGGTAAGAGATTCATTTCGCTGATCGTCACACGTTCTAAACTGAGAGCTGTGTTATGTGAGAACACGCGTTCTCTAATTACCTGTAAATTATTATTACTGCAGCAATCGCAAAACCGGCGAAGTTTCAAGTAGATGGGTGGATTTTATAAATCAGATAGCGTTACGCGTGCTCGACAAACCCTCCTCTGGATATTTTCAACTGCATATCATTACGCTTCCGGCTGGATGCTCGATAATTCGTAGTTTATTTTGCGCCTGAAGTAGAATTACACCGGTGTTTCCCACCAGAGTTTCTTAATCCCTTCGAGGAGGCTAGGTGAGTGCCTCGCCTTTCGACGTTTCCCATTTTAATCCAATCGTGATTAAATTTGAAATTCCTAATAATCGGATTAAATGTAAAAATCGAAGAATGTGTTGTACGATTTTTTATCATTTATCTCCGCCAGTCTGATTAACACGGTTGGGATTTAATATGAGATATAATATTCGTTTTAATGGTCAGACACATTAACCCTGATTCTGTTTTCCTCGCAATTAAGATATTCACGGTAATAACGTAACTTTAGCCGGGTTTCTCTCTTTTATTTGCGCAGACATGAACTTCGAAGTTTCATTAAAACTTTGGAGGGAATTCGTTTCGAATGTTAGTCACGAGCGTGGCTACGAAGCTGGCGAATATTCGCCCCTGAAATTTACATACGGTATAATTTGATGATACAAAATCTCGTAATTCTCCGTATTACGAACGTGTATTAGAACGAACTACGCGTCATTACTGTTCTCTCTACGATAATAATCTCTCCCGAATAATTCCAGATTTTTCTCCAACAATGTATGTGTGCATACCGAAGTGAACGAATCATTTTTTTTCAAACCAATCAAGACTGCACTGCACGTGAACGTTAATTATTGAACGCGCGATCGTTATGGTGTTTTGTGGTCCTGTTTCAAAGTCGACGAGACGATAAATGAAATTGAAAAAAAGTCTATGGGCGAAATGTTTAAACGGCCGATTTCCGATGTATGTTCCAGCCGCTCAGGCGAAAATCCTGGGTCCGGAAGACGTTTACGTGAAGAAGGGTAGCACGATAAGCCTCACGTGCACCGTTAATGTGCAAAGTACACCGCCCAGCAGCGTTTCGTGGCATCACGGAGGAGCTGTGGTGGATTTCGACAGTCCCAGGTACAAGCCACGAGAATCAAGTTCTCGAGTTCGTTCAGTAATACCCTTTCACCTCAAACCCCTGTCCCGAGTCGCGCTCCTATTTTCACGTTACCTCGTTTCCGTTCGATCGGTTACCTTACGATTATTGTCGCGCGTTCGCTGGGAAAATTTCTTGCATTTTCGGTATAACCAGCGCCAGCGAACAGAGATTTTCAATCCTTCGAGCAAGCACACGGTATCACGTTAACGTTTAACCTGTTCGTGTTATCGTTCCTCCAAAGTACCTTGTAGAAAATCAAATTCCGTTGCTTCTCGTACGAACGATTTTTATTATAATTGAATACTATCTACTTATCCACTCGGTAGGATAAATTTAGTTTAGTTTCCAGGGACATAGTTGGAAATTCATGAAACCGGTGCAAAAGACAACGATAACAGGAGCGTGTGTTTTAGTTGGAAACGCGTCTCGCGGTGGCGTCGCGACGTCGTTGCGCGGCGCGTGTCAGATATCCTTAGAAACTACTAACAAAACGTCACGCAAACGTGTGCGGTGAATAGTACGAAAGTATCTTTGATAATTCAGCGTTCACCGCAGGGGCGGTGTTTCCTTGGAGACCGAGAAGACGGAAAGCGGCACGACCAGCAGACTTCTGGTGACACAGGCCAGATTGACCGACAGCGGAAATTACACCTGCATTCCCAGCAACGCGAATCCAGCCAGCGTGATGGTCCACGTGCTGAATGGTAAGGGGCCTTTTTATCCCTCGAACACTTCTCGTTCGAGCACGCCGAGAACCATCCCCTTTCGCTCAGTCTACCCCGGCTTAATTTCAAACGACGATCCGTCTTGCGCCCAGACGCTGCTGCGCCGTGACACACAACTTTCTTAATATCGATCCCCGTACTCTTCTTCTAACACCGTTTATCCTCGGTAAAATACACTCTTCGCGATGCTTTTCACGTGCAAACGCGTTCGAGCTCGCTTGTCAAGAGCTCGATTCGATTTAAAATGGATTCCACGGACGGTGCAATGAAATGTTGCGATATGAATGATCTTTCGTTATTAACATACTTATTTTAGAATAATCGATTTATCTATTTTCAACGAATTGCGCCAGCTTTCTCGACGCTGTTGAACGGGTTTACACGCGACGAATCCCGGGACGTTTCAGGGCTGTGTCATGCACACACCCTTCTATAAACGTCGCGAGCAAACGCGTTTAAAAGGAGCCATGCATAGAGAAATCAGCAAGCATTTCATCGATTGAATCGCGAACACTTTAGCTCGCGTAATTTCATCCGCTTTTCGATGCGACACAAAGCACGTCAGATGGGATTATTTACGTTACATTTAAGATACCGTCAGTGCCATTTCGATGGAGAACGTCACTTTCTTTCGCAATATCCACAGGTAAACTTGTATTCACGGAGATGACTCGCCAGGATAAGCGGAATCAATTTTTTCCCCCGTTCATTATTCATCCAGAATTTCCAAAGCTTTCCAATCTGGAAAATTAATAAGCAGCCGTTCGATCGAACAAGGGTGCCGTATTAATTTTATTCCTCGGCGAACTATGGCGCGGCTGGTCGTCCGGGTTTGACGTTTTGAAAATTATCGAACCGTTCGCCGATTCACCCTGGCCGTACGTCGAAGACGTATCGTCGACCCTTTTACATCGCGATTGTTCGACAAATTCCTCGACAATGGCCTGTCCTCGTGTCGCGGGATACAACTTCAATGGCGCGCCTCGACGACGAGGAGAAAGGGACAGCGGTGTTCATTCATCAAGGCATCGAAATCCCTCGTCATAAAGTTTGACAGGCTCGTATATTGGTGCCGTGGCAAGTACTCGGCCCCTCACGCATACTCCACACTTGCTTCTGATCTATTGTCAGCCGGCAACACTCGCAATAACACGAGCAATATCTTGCTCGGCGAGTTCACCAATCTAGCCGCGTCAATCATCGGCAAACTCGTGGCGCGCGAGTTCCTGCCACGCGGAAAGTCTCGCTGAAAAGCGTCAGTCTTATAACTTGACGACTCACTCTCTCTTTCTCTCTTTCGATAAACATTTAACCGGGAGAAAAGGTTTTGAATAATCAGTTACTCTGTTCTCGGATAGCGAATCACCGATCAATTAATAATTGGATTTTGGCGCGGAGGCGTCATTTAGCCCGGATATCAAGCATTCGGTCGAATCATTGACGGTACAAAACCGGCCGACAATGAACTGCTAATCAACACGGTATGAATTATGGCGCAAAGATTAGCGCTAGCTGGATTCCATTAGCGGATTTCAATCGAGGATACTTTCGATCAGTTTCAAACGTCGACGCTGCATTCCCAACAGAAGCGGCACGCATAGGGACATCGATCAGAGGGGTTACGAACGTTCGGCACCAGCTCGCCGTGAAACAAGCGGGGAAAAGGCAGCCTCGCTTCCGGCCAGTCGGATGAAAATTAATGCAACACAGTTCGTCTGCATAATTAATTTACAATCGAGCGGTCGCGTGAGGGGGTGGTTCAACCCTCGTCTCGCCATCGACGTTATTTCAAACACGGCTGATTACTCGGCAAAATTGACCGCAAATTTCAATTATTTCGCGATAAAGCTGCACGCAACGCCGCGGATTATCCGTGGACCGGTCGCACTATCTGGTCCGCATTAACGCAATTACCAGGCTAGAGGCCTGGTCGAACCCCGGCGACGAACGACGTCGTTTTTCGACGAAACGACACACCCTGGGGCTCGACGCGACCCGATCGGCCACTTTCGACCAGCGAACGAGATTTTCCCTCCGATCGTAAATCCCTTGTATGCCGCGTACACGCGAGAAACGCGATTCGCCTAACCGGGCCGCAACGGGCGCCGCTCGTGATTATCTTTATTGCTGCCGGATGTTGCGTTCACCGGCCACGATCATCCGGCCGATACACCGTTAACATTTGTCTGGATATATGAAATGTATGTATGGAAATCGCGGGATAGTTCCGTGATTAACGCTGCTTCGGGTACTTCTACTGTTATCGTACCTTCTGCTTTCTGCGAGTTCATTGGCGGTTTCATCGTGTCCCTGATATATCTGATGACGATGACGATTTGAATGAAACGTTGAATTTCCAAGCTTCGTTGATGCATTTTTCACTGAAAAGACCGACATTATTTCCTGAAGCGAATTCACGAGCGTGACGAATATGCGGTTGGAAACAGAGGACGGTGGGAAAGTAGAACGAAAGTTTTTTTTTTTTCTTTATGTTCCAGGCGAGCATCCAGCGGCCATGCAGCACGGCGGAAGTTGCGGCGTGACACCCACCATTCTGCTCGCGACCTTCACCCTCTTGATCGCGAACCTGCTGAGGTGAGCAGCCTCGTGAATCGTGTCGGCTTCGTAACAACCAAGTTAAACTCGTTTCGCGAAATGGGATGGTTGAAAGTGTGGCTGGAAAATGGGACGCCTCGGTTCCCTTTTTGCCATCGGAACCACGAGACCCGGATGTTACAGTGAAAGAATATGAGTGACCAGAGTTGACCGAGTTCTCGTCGACGTTATAGAAAGAATGGATCGAGGATGAACAGAGTGCAGTGGATCGAGTGATGGAACCAGTGACGTGGAAGTGGATGATCTTTTCTCACGTACGTTTTTACCGACAATTTAACCCCTCTAAACTATTATTCCTATTTCTCTAGCAAGCTTCACTCTGTGACACGTGCATCGAGTGTGAATAGTTCGCGAGTAATCCACAGTGTGAAACGTTCGCTTTGGTGAATCCTGTGAATATTGAACCTTCCCTGTGAATAATCAAAAACCTGTCAGTTTAATCGTTGAACGAGCGTACCTCGGCGTGGAAAAATTTTCCCGTAACCGAGAGGCGTAGAACCGATAATTACCGTCGAATCGTATCGCCGTAGATAGCGTAAGTTTTTCTGTATATAAAGAAAGGGACAGACGTGAAAATGAATAGGGTTTTGTCGCGACCTCGTTTGTACAGTACAATACGTCTGGGAAGAACGAAATGTGGGATCTGGGCAGCGTTTGTATATACAGAAATTTTTCAATTTTATTTAACCATTTCGCTATTTTAATATTCGATTGAAAAATGATAAAATTATAGAGTGAAACTCGTGCATAGTGGGATTATTATGGATTCTTTAATTATTTTCTGTTACTTGATTAAATTACTCTCCAATTAATGACGAAAGGGTTAACGATTCATAACGAGAAATTATCTCAATAAATATAGATTTGTGGGAATCGACTAGTTGAAAGTTTGCCCAGGTCTGACTAATTACCCTCGATTCTCCTCGAAACGTCTGTAATTTCATCGACGAACGTATGTTGTTCTTCCTCGTTTGAAGAATGTTTCTGTTTCTCGAGAATTGCTCACGATTATCTGCTCAGTCTGTTTCAGGGAACGCAATTGTTTCATTCGTGCCTGGTTTTTCATTTTCCAGACGTTTCGCAATCATTCGTATCCATCGATGGTTCAACGATGATCGTCTAATCAAAATGCAATCACATTGAATATAAATTTTAAGACTCACGAGATACGCGATTGTTGTAGGGTTCGTGTATAGTTAAGTGTACCGGGGGACGATGTGAATGTACATTTCTATAAGATATGGATAAGAGTATCGTTAACAGGATGTGGCATTCCGTTACTGTGTGTAAATGCTGCTAATTATCCGAAAATTCTAAAACGAGAAAAGAGAAACATTTGCGACGCAACGTAAATGAATACAGTAAATCTCGTTGTTTCACGTGTTTCTTTTCGATTCCCTAGAGTTACGAAGAGTTTTGCATCGAAGTCATTCTAAACGACGAATCGAACGAACGTTTATCGAGACGGTGCTATAATTCGTTAAGTTCTTTCATAGTCAATCAAACGAAGCTTGTTTCTTTCGCGAATCAACCTTCTTAGATCATCGTCGCGAGATGATTCACGATTTATGGACAGTAGTAGTTGATTAGAGAAATTTACTACTAATGTAACGAGTAAACGAATATCATAACAAAATTAGACAATTAAGGCGCGACACATACCTTTAGGTCTAAATATACATATAGATTTTTTATAATGTTGTACCACGAGGAGAAACTTAGGTTCTACGGTGTAAAACAGACTGCCAGAACGCATTCACGGTGTTGAAAAAGAACATTGCAATTGGTAAGAATGAATTTCGAATATAGACGAAAATGATATACATATATATATATATATATATATATATATACATTATTCCTTCTTGTATAGTTTATACGGTAATTTATGTCGTTGTGAGAGGACAATATTTTAAAGTTGACGCGTGAGGACAAACGTTAAAGTGAACGATTTTAGGCAGAATTAATGAGAACGACGGTGAATGATTATGATCGTGTGTGATAATTTCAAGAATCTGACGTTCCTGGATGAACGTTAAACGATTTTCACGATGTTGGAAACAAGAGAACGATCGTCGGTGAAGTTTCATTCGATTTTTCACGGTAGACACTTTTTCCTCGATCCCTCGAGTCTCGTTCCATTTCCAATGATACCGTTCATCTGATATGGTCACGGTTTCGCGTGAAACAAGAACGTGGGTGAGAGAATAGACGAAGATAAAGAAAAGAAAAGAAAGAGAGAATAAGAATATCGAGAGAACGTTGTTGTTCGACGACTAATCAATAAACGCGGCCCCCCGCATAATTATGGAATGTTGCACAGATTTATAGTTAAGCCTAGGTCGCATTGTACAAACAGTTCATAACCGATAATGTACCACGTTATAGAGGGACGTCAGTATGAATCAAAGAGACGGAAGTAAAAGAAAGGAGAGAAAGAGAAAGGAGCGACAAACGAGTACAGACTATTATACTGTAAAGATATTCATCGACGTGAATACTGTTTCAATAAATGTAATGATGATACAAAACGACTACCACGTTCGTTCTCCCCCGCATCAACGTTTATTTCTGTCGTTTCCTTTCACGGACTAACAATCAGTTCTTCTCCTTGCAAACCGCGTCCCTTATCGAAACGATACACAAATTATTCGATCGTTTGCATACCGTTTGAATGAATCCTTCCCGTAAACTCGATGCAAACGGGTTCTACTATTTGCACAACGACGGTGTTCGAAAATGAGAACGTGATCGATGGAAAGTCAAGGTGAAAAGTAGAGAAAAAAAGGAATTGTAGCTTGAAAATTCGATTCGATGATACATCATCGCGAGCGCAAGAAGTATCGCTTAATCTCGCAAATGTCAAATTCTCCTCGGAACATTTTCAGATTCAATCTCTCGAGCCTCGTGTCGGCGAAGTAAGAAAAGAAAAGGAAGACCCTCGGATAATGCGTTTACGACAAAGCGCCATTACGTCATATTTCCCCAGACGTTGGAGTAATCAATTTTTCCCGTCCCTGCGAGAAACAATCGACCGAGGTGTCTCTCGTCGCGCGGATCCGCGTCTGAATAAAATCGGAAGCCGGAATTCTGTCGAATCGATGAGGAAAATAGAAATTCTCCGTTCACTCCTTGCCGAATCTTGTTTCCCTGCTTTCCAATCCCTCGGCATTTGCATCCTTTAGTAGATTTCCTTCTTGTCATTTGTCAACCTGTCAACCGTCTACCTCTGCCTTACGTTTCAGCAAAGAAATTTTCCAAAAAAATTCCAACAACCCGTCCGTACATTTCCGAAAATGATCGACAGGATATCAGCTGGTTCGTTCGTTAATCGCGACAGGGAGAAAACTGGAAACAGTCGTGTCCGTCAGACGGATCGTCCGAAGCTTATCCCACCCGTTCGTTTTCCATCAACGGAATTTTCACTCGACATTTTATCGGCCACGCGCCTGTACGCACGCTCGCACGATCGACCCAACGGTCAAATGAAAAAAAAAAAGAATAAACCGTCAAGGGGAATTGTCGAACAAGGGTGGTAGGATCAATTTTACATATACAGCTCGATAGAGGAAATATATCGCTGGCAGACGTATGTGACCCGTCGTCTTTTAATAGTTCCATGGTCGAGCAACTTTTCGAACATTCGTTCGAACGATTTTGCGACCGCTAATCTCTCGTGATTGCGTGCGAACGGTCGACAAGCTGTCCGGCCTCTGCCATTGAATACCGTGCCGATTGTAAACTGAAAAAGAGAGGGATTATTTTTTTCAAAAAATGTATACGACTTTTCGAGTTTGCCATTCGTTCACTTTTGATTAAATTCGGTAAAGTCGTTGGTTAATTTATTTTCATCGTTTGTAAATAATTATACGTAGGAAATTAGCTTCATTATTATAAGCAGATTTTTCCAAGATAAATTTAATTATAATTAAGCGCCACGGATGAAACGACTGTCAAAGCGTTGGAGAAGCAGTTGCGAGCTAGGACCGGTAAAATATCAGCTGTACATCGAGCCCTGTTTGCCGATATTTTACCGGTTTAATTGTTTTTCGATAGTCGAGAGCAATTCCAGCTTTTCGCGTGCGATCGAAGGGGGTTGAGCGAAAAGGGTTGGCGGGGTGGAAGCGTTTCCGATCTGGTCATTCGTTACAGCGAAACTGAATCGTGAGTTAACGGTGCAAGATGGCGTGTATCCTTTTATTGGCTATGTAATTCCAGTTTTTCTCCTGAATGAAAACGCTTCAAGATCGAGGCTTCAACGATCGATCGATCGTTGAAACATTCCATTCCGTTGCTTTCATAGGAAGCTGAAGTTCCGCCGTGTTAGTTTAACATTTTACTCCGTAAACTGAAATCCTCTTTCCAGCGGATATTTGTCCAAAGGTATTTTGAAGCGTTGGCGCCAGATTGAAAGTTAACGCTTGATTTAAGCCACGCAATTTTTGTCACCATTTTTTAATGGAAATATCGATGACCACCGCGCATCGGATTACTTTAGCAGATTGAATTTTTGTCAAAATCACGTTGCTTAACGAAATTCGGACCTGTACGCCGGATAGTTTTTTTTTTGTAACTGTTCGCAAAAACGCGTCCATCGAATCGGGGATATTTATTCGGTGCTCTGTGTATTCGCTGCAGTGCTTTTCTGCAGAACGCATCTTTTTTAAATTTACAAACGTTTCCCAGCCCGTTTCATCTAACTGATCTTTAATTCGAGCAAGAATGAAAGACGGTAGAGTCGAAGATACGCGGAATTTATTGTTGTTGGACGATGCCGTTAACGAATGTGTCCCGCAGGAACAGAACGGGTGGACAATGCAGTTTTCCAATTTTCACCCTGCAACCCCCGCCCCTTCCAGTGCGAGCTGGAAGCCTCGGTTCGACCTCTCTGGTCTACCTAGTCCTCCGCACTAGCCCTTTATCATCCCGTAACCTGAACAATCATAAAGCATGTTGATTCACGGGCCATCGTAAATTTAGCGTTATTTTATTCTCCTGCTGGAACCGTTTAAACGGACACTTTAAACGATCCCGTCCCGGAATCGATTCGTTACGCCGGATTTGCTAAAGTTTCTGATAAATATCGCGTTCGAACAAAGTGTCGATGGTAGAAATCGAACCTACCAATTGGATGACGTTTTTATTCAACTTATTTCCTTTTTTCATCCGACGACGAAACGTTATCGAAGGGAAGCATCGATAGCACCGTTCGATTGCAGGGAATTGAAACGAATCGCGTGGCAATTAATTATTACCAGCCATTATTTCAGCTCGTAGTGAAATTTAAATCGGAAAGAATTTCGCTTGGCTCGACGATTAATTTGAAAGACTCTTCTAGTTTCTATCTTCCCTCTGCAGGTCAGCCCGAGGCAATTTTACGCGCGTATTCGACCCGAAGTTTTCGGAATTTATAAATGAAAATCCAACGGAAGCCCGATCCAACCTTTCCGCATCGAAATTGGCCCGGTTCGCCGTGAATTTTATATTCAGGACATTACTGCGTGCTGAATTATTTTTCAAGTTCGGACGACACCGGGGGTAGTTGAACGCCAAGTAGCCGCGTTACTGTTGGGCGTTCCTGGGTGACGGTGGTCGTAACCGTTTCCGGTCCAGAGCCCTGTCGTCCAGATTCAACCCCCGGACCTCCGGAATCCCTTTTTCTGACACTGCTGTTTTAAACAAGAAAACTTGCAAACATATTTTCCTCGAGAATCGCGCCATCGAATAAATTGTCGCCTTCGATTTAGAACAGCATGGTTTTTGCTGGAAAATTTTCCAACGATCCTAAATTGACCCGAGTAACTGTCATGCTGTGAAAAGGATTCTATTCGAGTGTGAAACCGGGCTGGACTTGGTTACATATCGAGGGTGATCAGAGTGAAAAGCAGAGGGTTGTAATACGCGTTCGTTTTCTGTTCTTCTCTTCTGAGCGTGCGTAATTCAGTAGTACGATCAAATATTTAATCTGTTCGTCACTCTTTCTACTGCACGGGCCATCTCGGCTTATTTGTGATTCATAACGCATCAAAGTGTTCGAGGATGTTGAAAATCCGCGGAACCGTGAAACGATTTTTCAAGCTTTGAATAGCGCACCGACTCGACCTGACCGAGTCGACGTTTTGGGGTCACGAGCTTTCTGATTTTCAGAATTTCATTTCACAGAGAGAGATTCTTCGGTATCTTCTTCATTTTTGAATTGATTTCGATTCATGGTATAAAACTCGCGATTTGCTGGCACGATTCAACCGTGCCATTAAAATGAAACTTTCGGGTTTATGTGCTTTCAAGTGGTTTTATTTAGAAACTTACAATACAAGGTGTGTTTAAATAATAGTCGAAAGATAAATTCGTGGTGCGCTTAGGAATTCTTAAATTATCTTATGAATAAATATTTAAATAGTAATAAGTTTCTCCTGATAAAAATAAAAACCATAGAAAATAATAGAAAATGAACAAATTGTGTTGAAATTATGAATTTATTTATCATTTTTTCTATGGTTTATATCGTTTCAGACTTTGCTAGGAGTTTCGTTTATAAATACTAGTTTCTAGATTCAAGGAGGTTAATTAGAAATTCTACGTTAATTATGTACAATCTTGCGACAGGATCGACGACGCGAACGTTTCATCAAGGCTGACGAGTAAAATTATGAATTAAAAATTTGGATTAATATCGTTTCTCAGCGTCAGAGAAGCATCCACCGAGCTAAGATACAGGATATCAAATTACTTTCACATCCTTTGACGTTACTCGGCCACTTTAATCCCATTGACTTCAAGAGCTACGCTCAAAGAAGCTAGGGCGAAGCGAAAAAGACGTTTCAACGCATTGAGATCAAGTGCAGCATTGCGGCTCGCTTACTGAATTATTTAGGTAAAAAATAAATTTAACAGACAGCTCGCTTTTCCGATGAATTGCCTCAGGATTAGCCATTTTTTTCAGTAGCTATCGGTAGAAATTTAATAAATTAACGAGGCTATCTTCCATTATTCTTAAATACGAGGTGTTCCATAAAATTATACTATACATTTTCATAATATCTTTTTCTCTGGAAAAAGAATATATGAATAATTATTCATTTAAATTCACCACCATTCGAATTAATAATTTTTATCTCTCTGATTTTCGACAGAAAAAGGAGATGAAAATTCGTGTTGGGAAGATTTTTCTGGATCTAAAATTCAAATGGAAACACCATGGTGGTCGATCATCCTCTTACCGATAATTCCTACGATATTTCTAGCTTACAATCTACTGGTCGTTGGTCAACGGTTGTAGGTACTTTCCCCGAAGCGGAACGAGGGCATCAGGGCAGAAGAGGCAAGCGTGAAATACTGTCGGGTTGGTCCGCTATTGCAGGAAAGTTTGGCTGTTTCGCGCGAGTATTAGAAACCACGAGAACGGAAGTAGAAGTCCGGCCCAGTGCCTGACGTTACATCCGGATGAGACGTATCCGGCGTCACGTTGCATGGCTTCCGTGCGTTCTCCTGCAACAGAAATAAAACTGCCCTCTCAGTTTCACGGTTTGCCGTGTTTCGCTGGGACAATCGTCGATTTATGATTATGCCGGACCGGCGAGCGTTGCGATTCCCGCGCGAAAGAAAGAAACAGGAGAAAGAGTAATGAAACCAGCGACTCGTAAATCAATGTCTCACGGTGAGACCATTGGATTATTGGTTTTCCTGCGTTGCCCGCCTCCGAATGGGCTAAGGTCTTCATTAATTACCACGGTTTTTAACGTGGTCAGACCCAGACCCCCCCAGTCTTCCCTTCCACCGTGAAGTAACAAATAATCGCTCGAGTAATAAGTGACTGTCGTTCAGAGGTAACTTATATCTCGAAATCACAACCAAAGCGATTAACAATACTTTTTCATTCCATTATTCTATAATCCACAATAAGCACAGCTTCCAATGAACCAGATTGGAATAGGTGAAAAAGAGATTGAATTCGTTGAAATTCAATTAACCGAACATCCGAATTCCAATATACTGCATTTTTGTTCGCAATAAAGGTACGCGAAGCTCCATTGTAAAAAGAGAAACGAACGACTTCTCTACAGAAATATTGAATTTCCAGCGAGAGGACGCGCTTCCGGTGAATTCAAAGTGCTTCAAGCTTTGTTCCCCCGCGATACGCGGTGAAGATGTTACACGTCCCACGCAAATGTAAAGAACGTGACGCTAAGCAGATGGCGACCTACACGTGTAAGTACTTCGGGTAATGTTTACAAGAAATCCTTTCAATTTGCCAAAATCTCTCGTAAAATGTCCTACCACCTTTTAACATCGCTATTGAATTTTCATTGAAATAATTGCTCCGTGTAACATTGAAATTCTTCTCTATCGTGGAACAAAGGCGAAGCTACGAAATTCAAAGGAAATTCATTCTGGCGATTTTCACGTGAATCGGTGTTTATTCGGAGTCTGGTTTCGTTTGAAGTTACAGGCTGCTTTTAGTTCCCTCTCGAGAGAAGAATTAATTGAAAGCTCCGATGGGAGCAAGTTTTTTTTTTCCCCCTACGGATACCAAGGTTTTTCAAAGTTGGATTAATTTTCAGAGTTTTCACGTTCATGAAGAGAAATCTGTTGTTCGATACCGAGAAGAGCGGGCAAACTCGAGCTGCAACTATTGGCTAACAGAGGCACAGAATGGTGGCTAGTTTTCGTCTTAACTGCGCTTTACGATCGGAAAGGTAAGGGAGAAACCTTGATTTTTCGGAAGACCCGTTAACAGCTACTTTATTTTCCGAAACTACTCCCCTTAACGATCCCCTTCTACCGATTACACGAACCCACGGACCCTTAATGACAGAAATACGAGCACTTCGCGCGTGAGAAACGGGCGTGCATCGGTTTACGTACATTAGAAACTAGTAAATTTCTTCGTAGCCTCTTTTATCCGTCGTTAGGCACGGATTTACCCTCGCTAGAAAATGTTCAACTTCCGAACGGTGATTACGCCTTTCATAATTCCTAACCGATTAACCGTTCAACTTTTCCGCCCTGTTACTTCGAGAAGTTGAGTCGAAAATTTATCGAGCATCGTCGTTCAATTAGACCCGATCGATACCGGCGTGTAATTAAATGTAAGAATTATGGAGTCAGTCGGGGATGCGACAACGTAAATCTTCGTCAACGCTATATTCGCTTCACGGTTGACCAAAGTATCGAAGCTTATCGCTTGCGGTTGCCGCAATTTCCTCGGTATCCGAGGAAGTCAGCTTCTATTTGGCACCCGCTGGCCAGAAGATCACGACGGATTTCGAACATCACCGTGCGATCCTTTGTCCAGGATGGGTATCAAGGATAGTTAATTGGCTGCCATGATAGGGCATGGTCAATTGAGCGTTTAATTAGAGTGGCAGGGTATCGATGGATTTTCGGTCAACGTTGCTTGACATTAATCGATTACCATCCTGGATGGTCTTTGAATATTTGATACCTGGAAATTGGAAATTCGAAGAGAAAAATCGAAATAATTAGAATGAAAATTAAATTTTCCCCAATTTTCTGTGCAACTTTTTTTCCTGAAAAAAGTTTTAATATGTTTCAAGAGAAATTCTTCCTTTAAATTTCACCTGTCTCCGGAAGTAGAACGTCTAGACACGTTTGTGATAAGTTTTAACGGTTATTTTCTCCCAGACAAATTCCCAACGCACCAATATGTCGCCACGTCGAGGCGGAGTTTCATGAGCATCTTCAAGATTTTTAAACATGTATGTATATATAGAGCCGGCGACACGAGGCTGCAGTTCGTGTGGAGTTTAATACCTAACGACTCCCCGAGCTACCATTTTCATGGCACCGAATTTCATCTCTTGCCATCTCTTTCTCTCTTAATCCCAGTTCCTCACCTTTTAAACTCGCCTCTCCGCTGTATTATTAAATTTCAAGCTGGAAATTGAAGTCATCGAATGATCTTTTTTTTATTCATCCCTTTGGTGTTATTACAAAATTCCTCTTACAGTTAGTACAAACGAAACTTTCCGATCACAGTGACTGCACGTTTTATACCGGAGAGTTCTCCAGACAGAACCTAAGAAAATGTTAGCTTTTTCTTGATTTCGCTCGACGAGAGAAACAAGAGTTTCCCATTGATAAGGGAAATGTTTCAGGGTGGATACATGTTTGCCGGGGAAAGTATTCGCGGAAGTTCGAATATCGATCGTCCTAATGACTCCCAAAGCATTTCGAAACTCGAGCTGCTCTCGAAGAGGGATCGTTCTTCAGGAACGCGTAGGATACGGGACAATTTCCAAGAGTTCCTTTAGGAAAACTAGACGAACCCGGAGTGCCACTTGCGTAACTTTTCGAGCTTGTAGATCATTCGCGATTCAAAGTAGTAACGCGAACTTCTCTCTGCGCGACAACAGGGAACCTATCGCATTAACGAATCGACCCGCTCGACTAAAACTTCAACCCTCCGTCGAGTCCTCCAGTATTTGATATTTGAAAATGGTCTAACGATTACTCGAGTAATATCGATCTTTTTTTCAAAATTCAAAAGAGAGCTCTGGTGTTCTTGTTACATGCATATTTAATTCGTAGTTTCTGATAAGAGGAGAAGGTGATCTACAGTTCTTTGGTAAGCTTACCAGGCTAGCTTAGCGAGGCACTTACGGCTAATTTATACCAGCCATTACACTACCACTGACCTACTAACGCTAGATCGCTGATGTTCCTAAGGCCAATTCGCAAAGCTCGCCAACATTGGCCTTAAACTGTCCTCGGCGAACAATCTTATTAAGGTCAACGATGAAGCTCCCTCGGTTTACGATACACCGATTAGAGGTTCGAAAATTTTATATCATCATTTTCTAATCGTTAAATTCTGAAAGTGTAGAAAGAGCCATGAATCCCGAGCTGAGATAAGAAAAATATCCTTTCGCACAGGAGATACCGTAAAAGCCGGAGCACCGTTTTAAACCGGAGTTTCCGCGTTATTAGGGACCACGGCTTTCGCAGCCGAGTCGTTAGCCAAATTTTTCCCCCGGCAAACTGTTAAACTCATAATCCGAACACAACAGCGCTAAACCCTCCACTTCACCCTTGATAGCGCGTGCTGAATTCGAGCCAAATATTAAAATCTCATCCTACCTTTCGAACAACTTCAAAGAGCGCACTCGGGTTTATTCCGAAAAACAAATGTTCTAGCGAAGATATTAGAAATTAGAATGAATATAGATTGAAAGTGTACAGAAGTGAAAAGATAGGGAAGGAAACGTTGAACGAGCACTGGAGTGGACTTCGAGACGGAGCCACGAAGATATCCGGGATAAAGTCTCGAGACGAGATCCGGGAGAGAACTCACGGTGATGTGCAATTAGGAAAATTGAATTCCAAGCGTAATTAACTTTCTTAATTAATAGAATCGCGGGATTGTATCTTTAATCTGGCCGTTGGAAGTGCTTCTGGCAGCTACTGTCATCGGCGTGGAGTGTCGTCTGGGTTAGGCGACTGACTTTTGGATGGAAGCGAGGGAAGCAAATGGGACAAAGAGGGATGATGGGAGTTCGACGAACGAGGGAAAGGAACAAACTCCGGGAGGAGAGTAGAACGCGAGGTGGCGCGGAACGAAAGACGGAAGTCGGCTGGTGGAGTGGGACAAGACAGGATTGTTGCGACGTGGAAACGGCGGCGACGATTGGTGGTAACTGGGGGTTGAGGAAGTCGCTGTAAGTTTTGATATATGCGCGACGTTATTTACGATCGCATACGAATTAGCTGAGACACAGCAAACCAGCAAGCGACCTGCAAAAAGTTCGACTTTGCACCCTGAACTGGCACTGTACTCGACCGCTTTTTGCCAGGTTAGCTTCCTGAAAAGTCGTTAAATCACCTCGCTGCGTTCGACGAATCAGCCAAATGACGTTTCTTGCCGGTCGTGTATCGATGGAAGATAATGGCACCGATATCTTTCGATTCTTCGACGGATATCCGGCGAAAAACTGGAATTGGTAAAATTGTCAACGAATCGCGTGAAAAATTAACGAGGCGCGGTTCGCTCATCAAAAGGCTCGCGGAAAGTCATTTTTCTCCGCGCCTTTCGCGACCATCCGCGATTAATTAATCACCGGGCGCCGATTTTGATCGACCGATCGATTAATGAAATTCAGGGAAAACTAAGACAGCGAATGGAAACAAAACGAAATTAGGTAATTTTCATGGAAACGAACGAACAGTCTATAATTTTAATATGGCTTTAATTCTTTTAAACGACAACTATCATACGTTATATCGTTAGTGCAACGTTTCGCGCCTCTCGATGTTCCAAAGAGATATCGATAGCCCTGATAAATCAGCGTTTCGGCAATTCGCCGCACGGTTTTCCAAATTGCAAATTTACGCAAGTTTATACGGCAGATCGAGTAGGTTTTCCGAAAGAATTACCGTTCGACCGGAATTAAACGCGACCGTCACGGTGTTTCGACGTCGGGATGATTTTTACGAGCACACGCGGAATGTAAATGCCTCCCCATAAATATCGCTATAAGCGCCATGGAAATTGCGCGTCTCGATGAAACACTACCACCAAATCCTACCGCCGGATAAATTGTAAACACCCAACGCGTGCAGCTGAACGCATTGTATGAACTTGGGATGATCGGATCAGGGTTGAATAATTGATAGCTTTCGAGGCGACTATTTCATTCGCAAATTTGATACTCTGCCGCTTTCCGTCATAAGACGAAAAAGAATAAGGGTCGTAAACGTAGAATGGAAAGACAGTCGGTCGCGAGTCGCCTATAAACCGCGTAAATTCGCAATCTGTGAAACTACGAAACGAGTCGGCGAAGTTGTGATTTACGAGGCGTTTCGCCGCCCGTACACGGGACAAGAGAAAAGGAATAGCCTAGCGGCTACGTATGTATACGCGTACAAGGTAGCGGCGTCGTTGGGCGTCGCGTCGGTCGGCTAGGAAAAATGCGACGTCGAGCGGGCCGCCGTTTCCTCGCAATAACTTCCGAAGGAAAATTCACGATAATAGAGACTACTGCCTGTGAATTCCGCATGCAAGCGTGCTTACGGATCTCCACCTTCCTCCTCTGGTTTCACTGATCCTCCAACCCCTCTAACCCATCCTTCTCGCACCCGGTTAGCCAGCTTTATCATCCCCCCGGCAAGCTACCCTTCTCTATTTCTCACGCGGACACGATGCACGCCCCTTTTCCCCAGGATTCGCCCTCTTTCTCGCGACGACGTCCCGAACGATGGTCCGCGGTGAACCAAGAGGCTGAGCTAGACAAATAGTTGCTCAGTGAAATACCGCCGGCTCCTTAAAACTTTAAAGTGTTTCGAGTAATCCTAAGGCACGAGTTTAGATCGCGACTATACCTTAGCCCTGTGTTTTCTCGTTGTTTCCCTTTTTCTCATCCCCCGGTCCGTTTCGTGGCGTGCACGAAAACGTTACGACCAATCGAATACAAATGCCCTGGAGGGCTCGTAATGTTCCCGGACGATCAGGCTCACCGGGAAACGTTCTTGTAGAGAGGTTTTGATCGCGGTACTACCACGATTTAGGGTTAGATTTTATGACGGCAATTTGCAACAAATGTCCCGCCATTAAGTGGCCGCTCCTTTCTTTATTTATATACTATGACCGTGGAGTGGAATTGGTGTTATTTGGCGAGGCTGATGAGCGAATGGTGGATTACTTGGATAAATTGCCGTCTTATGTGCCATCTAATTTATTTAATTTATCATCAAAACGCACAGTTGGGAAAGAAGATTGAGGTTTGCCGTGGGAAGGTTTGAAAATGACAGATTTTCAAGAGGAACTTCAACGCTAACCTGGTTCGACGATCAGCATTACAGTGTCCGTCCGTCCCTCCGTCGGTCTGCACGAATATTTTCCGACGTCGTTCGGCGTGACCGTCGCCAATGTCAATTCGGAGACCGTACGAGCCGCGCCTCTTTCGGTTTCCACGTTTATTCCGCCTCGTGCTGCCTGTGAACAATGCAACTTGCAAATGCGACACGAAATGCAACGAACAGTTTTCTGGAGGTTTTCCTCCCCTCGATTCTTTGCGAAACGCCGGTCAGAGTGTTTGCGATTTAATATACGATTCACCTTCGAAAGTACACGTTATTCACCGCTACGATATTCATGGTTTTCGTAATAAATTCGACCGGATGAATTGCAAAAACCTTCTGGGAATAAATTTTCAGTTGTTCCTCTTATCGCGGCCTCGATCAACGCTGGGACATTTTTCATGCAGCTATAAAACGATTTAAACGTTCCCTGTAATTACTTCACCAACGTGTTACAAATACTCTGTAATTTCATGGAAATGTTACCGAAATAAAACTTTCCTTTTACGAGGAGTATCCTGTGACGAGTGGTGCAATCTACAACGAGATGATTGTGTATACAGAAACGTGTTGTTAAAATTGAAATTGATGACGATGGATATTTGATAAAGAAGAAATATATTAAGAAAGGGGATCGGAGGAGGTACATTACCTGGAATGTTAGTAGTTTGTTGTCCCGGAGCCATTGCACGCCCCTGATGGGTCGGGTCTGATACGGGGACAATATGACGCACCTCAAGGTGATCGTCGACCCTGATGGCACCCTCTGCTCCCGAGGACCCATTATGGCCGCCACCGGAGCGGTGCTTTCGTAACCTGCAAGCCATGTACAGACAAATATCATATGGCGAGTGACATCGTGTCATCAAGATTAGCAGGTTTAAACTGAGTAGTTTACTAGAGTATGGTGTTTGTCAAGTTTATTATGGCGGTACCTGGTAGTTTACTACTGCGTTTCTACGCTACGATACGAGAAGAATTAAGTGAAAAGCTTCAGGTGGTTCATTCAGCTCCTCGCAAACGGAATTTACCTAAATGAAATATTCTAAGTTTATTAAAAATAATGATCCATGACGAGCTGATCAAGGAAAAGTAAACTTCCTGATTTTCCCTAACAAAAGGGACTTCGTTAAACGGACAGCTTTAATTCTTCACCTTTTGTTTATTAAAACAACCCTTCAGGGGAATTAATTAACACCTGCCAGGAAAAGTATCGTCTGGAGGAGTTAAAGAAGCTGCGAAACAATCGACCGTTCCTTGGAACTCTTGGCAACTTTTTAATTGACAGCATCAGAGCAGCACGATGTGTCGACATAATCTATTATCGACCTTTTAATATCCTGCGAAGAGGGAAAGTGGAAATAATTTTGATACGCAATAATTTTAATTAATGCGAACGTTAGCTTCTCCCGGGGGAATGTAGCTCACGACACAAGGAAAAGGATTTCACGGTGAAAAGGAAAGCGGGTAACAGGTTTTCCACGCGGGGCTGTCAAGTTTGTACATTTTAATTTAGAGAGTCGGCCCAAGTACTCGTTTAATATGAGCGCCACCGTGAAACGACGCGTTTCTCCTCTCAGACCCACTTAGGTCGCTCCAATTCTCCCCTCAAAATCGAACCACGAAACAGTCTAAAGAATTGATTACAAACACCCCTTGCGGAAAAAGGACCTATTAATCCTTGAAATTCGCTATCAATTCCATATAAATATTTTCCAACAAAAAAAGGAAATAAATGTGAAAATCTTCTCCATCGTATTTCATCGCTTTATTTCGCAAATATGGAATGGTCGGGTGTTACAGGGGGTTAAATCGTGTCCGACGTGAAATCATGGGCTGGCTGAAAATCTCTTTGAACGTTGGAAGAGAGTACGACGCCCCAAAGAGATCACAATTACGATTCACTTACCGTGGCAGAGCCTTAAGTCTCGTCGCTATATTAAAACGCGACCTACTTCTCCGTTCTCTGCGTATTAAGCAGAGACAGAGGAGAAAAGGGGATGGAATAGATGAAAGAAGAAAGTAAGGGTCTTCCAGTTGTCGCCTTGCTTGCTCTAACCAGCAAGATCCTCTACCCGGAAATTGCAGTTTGAAGTATGAACAAACGAGAGAGTCTCGAGTTCGTGACAACGTACGTGGCCTAATAATTTATTACGAGCTAACGGGTAAAACAATGCCACCAGTGTACTGGCCACGGTGTATTATAATGAAAAGGACAAGGGATACATTATTCCATGGTGTTCGAGATCTTATTTAATGGCCAGCTTCTCTTCACGGAATCATTGAACGCGCATGGGTTACGGCCAGGCTAGGTGACGAGGAAAAAGAGCTCGCTGTACCGGAGGAGGTTTTCCAGGACTACCGGGATTAAGGATAATCCTATTAGACTCGGATTAATCCTCGGGGAACTGCATTTCTCCTCGGCGAAATATTACGTTATGCCGTTATTACTGTACACGCTGAGGCAGCCTGATCTCCCTTTGGCGTTCTTGCCTTTCTTACTGTTCCCGTTCCCCGGGAACTTCGATGGCGACTCTTATGGGCATCTGCTTGTTTCTCGGCACCGTGACCGTAAGTTGTTGTCGGTGATTATCCGCCAGGAAAGCGAGGAAACTGATTATCCTTCATCCTTGAAAGAAATTTTCTTTAACGATAGACTTCTAGATAATTATATCATTTTCGGTGGATCTTCTGATTATGGTTATAATTTTCCTTCATTTTTTTCTCTGTTCGATGAAAATTTCCATGGGAGCTGGCTCGCTTTCCCGGGGTATTTTAATTTAAGGCAGCTTCCTCGACGCTTGTTTTCGCGCCGCTCCTTGAATTTAGCCATCGACTCGGGATCGATAGTAATTTCGAGGAGAAGAAGTTGGAGCAGAGGCTTGAAGCAATAAAGAAAAGATCTAGAAATCTCGCATCTCGGACGATGAAATGATGGAAGTTGGAAAGAATTATGAAGCGTCTAGCAGGACGCTGCAAGAAGAATCGACGACAGATCCCGAGCGTCAAAGCCGGCAAAGAAGCGCGCTTATCCTTAAGTGATTGATGTCGACTGGGTCCAGAAGGGAAGTAATAAAAAAAAGAGACTGTCTGATGATTTTTTAACGGGGTCGACGGTGTATAAAGGTGTCACGACGTCCTTTAGCATCGAGAAGATACACCCCGAGCTCCATTAATATCTCGTGTGTCTGGAAATCGCTGACCGATATACGAAAATTTATGAAACGTCTGTCTATTTAAAAATTAATATCTTTATCGGTCGATGGAAAAGCTGAATATAGAAACATTGAAAATAATCTTCAGCCGTCGTGTCGGTAAAATTTTATAACTTTTTTATTTAGAAATCGACGAAAGGTCGAATAACAAAGAAATTATGAACGGTTCCAGCCGACTCTCGCTAAGTAATCAGTCAATCTAAGAAAACTTGAGAACTTCATCTTCGACCGTAAAATCGCGAATGCAATTTAAATGTCATGAATCCAAAGTCGAACGTATTACTTCCTTGATGAAATAAAAGCATGGCGGAAGAATTGTATTTATAAGGAGGTTGAAATCTTCTTTAAAGATGATATAAAAGTATTCAGGTCGGTTATCGTCGCGAAGAATGAAATAAAGATCACGGGTAAGCGAGGTGGAAAATTATATTTTCTAAATCCGCTAGAAAAATGAATCGAACATGGTAATTTACAAATTTGTATACGAAGGAAGTTTCGATCGTGCATTAATATCCTCGGTATGGATTTCATTATGATCATCGGGCAACCGTGGGCAGGGAACGGGAAAAATAGATGGAGGGATTTAGCTGCGGGAAAGACGGGATTAATTTTTACGAGTAACGGGCACGGAAAAACTTTCGATGAAGTTTTGATTGCATTGCTGACGTATATCTGTATGCTGTCAATGTGCATCGAAAAAAAAGAGAAGAAAAAAAAATGGAGTGCAATAAAACTGGATGCGTGGACGAAAATCTATCGGCAGATTTTGATTGAAAACATTTTTTAATCACCCCCGACGTGTATGAAAATATGAAATCGTGCGGTTATTTACCTTAGACCGTGAAATTGTTTTGTGAACTATGAATTTCAATTTAATTCGTCGAATTTCTGAACGAAACGATTACAGAAATTATTCTTATGATATACTTACTTATTCGTGTCTGTTGGGAATGAGGTTCGTCGTAACCTTCTGGCTTATCAGGATCTAAAAAGAGAAGAACTTTTGAAAAATTAATTTTCAAATTCACAGAATATTTTTAATTATCATCCGAGTATAATTACTCGTTGAAAATTCTACGCGAAGTAATTAATTTCAAATTTATTATTTTCGATGTAAAGTTAATGCAGGAAATTAAACTGGCGCTCTTTCTCTCGTTTCATGTTTTAAACACATCATACACCGGGTTGATTGTAAAACCTTTCGCCTATATAATTGCGAGTTAAACGCGTGGCTTAACTTACCCTTTAAAAGTGAAAAACAGAGTTATTATTTGCGGAATAATTAAATTGAAATTTTGACTTTAATTTCTTCCATGTTAATTACAATCAGAATATCTATTAAATTACAATGAAGTGAAATTTCCGCATAAAAGTAACGTTTAATTTTAACGCGTCGAGTTAAAAAGAATGATAAAATTTCATTTTTTATTGTAGCTAAAGCCATGTGTTGATAAAAAATGACGGAAATCTCTATCTAAGGACCAGGAAGGGAAATGGGTTGAATAAGGTGGTGTAGGAGAGATTGTAATTACCTCGCACGGACAGCTGAACAACATACATCATTTTCGGCTCGGCGTTCACCTGACATTCATACTTGCCGGAGTCTGTCTTCCGGGCGTTGTCCAGCCTGAGTGTCCAAGCATCGCTTCCTGGTGTGTGCTGAGGCCCGAACCTCGCATCCGAGCTGAACAGAGTAGTTCCTGACGTGAGAATGTGGAGGTCCTTGCTTCTCATCCAGGACACCTGAAACCAGCCAGGGTCACGTTGAAATTACATCCTGACGAAGTTATCCTGTCACCGAGGAACAACGGACATTACGTAATTAATTTATGCTTCAAATTAAAATTGTCTCCACCCCCGGGGAGGAACTTCGCTCGGAAAACAAAGGTAACACTTGCACAGTGAAATAATTAGATTTTTCAAAAAAATTTGAAATTTAAAATTCTCAACTCAGGAAGGAAGTACTCTCCTTCGCTCGATATGCAATGTATTGTGCCCGGTATTGCCACAATTTTCTATTCACATTGAAACGAAACCACATTGTAGCTGCAGAGTTATCTACAGCTTTGAATTTTTCTTTTCAATTCAAATGTACCATTGTTGCTGCACTGTCTCTTTCAGAAGGCTTTCCACTTCGAGCTTACCTTCAAGCTGTTACCTTCGATCCATTCGTTGTTCCAGAGGCATGGAAAGGCGAATGGATCGATCGTTCGACAAACGAGACTGTTCGAAGCGTGTCGCATAAAAGTTTCCCGTTGATGATGAGCATTCGTCAGTCTACAAACCTGGTCTACCCTCTAAAACACGAACCACGGGAATTCGCACTTGCCCCTCGTGCATCGACGCTCCGTTACGACTTATTTTCTTCCCTACCGAATTACCTCGCGCCGGTGTTACAAGCTAATGTAATACGTAACACGGTAACGCGTTACGACGTCGTTATCCTATCATAAAGGATAGAGTGTTGAAAGAAAGCTGGAATCCCGAGGATAAAGGTGGAATTTAATGGAGCAACGCGTGAAAATGTGCATGACGGAAGAAAAAGAAAACGCAACGAGAATAAATTGGAAAATGTTTCTCGCGCGCGTTGAAGCGTCACAGGTTTTCAAGCAAAACGAGAAACAGGTATTTATGCAGGTATAATTTTATTAGGCATCAACGGAAGGGGATTTTTATCGTAGCAACAATTTCATTTGAATAATTTAAACGGCAGCCCCCGGTGCTTTAATATACGGATGCGATTATTCTTTCTTGCAGCGGGAAAATAAAATCGCGATTTTCTTACGTCACTGGCAAGCTCCATTAATAAAACGAACTCCGACCAGCGGTTCTTTGTTCCGTATCTAGGAGGAACCTTTGACATATCTTATTGCTCCGGGCTAAATAATTAATCCCATACCTCCGCCACCACCCCCGCTGGTCCTCTGGCCAGTGACGAGAAGGGGCCGGGTAATGGGAGTTTACTGATTACTCAGTTAAATTCACGAGTTTCTCGACTCGCGAACTATTTCCTGGATCCCGGTAGCTCGGTTCATCAATTCTTATGAGTTTTCTTCTTCCGAACGCGCCTTCCCGACGAGGAATTCAATCCTTAATACCTTCTGCAGTTTATCTAGGATTAGGAGGATATTCGTTGTCCAGATTTTAAAAAGAAATAATATTTCGTCAGATGTAACTAACACTAAAATTCCAAAAATGCGTCAGCTCGTATATTAACATTGACAAACATCGCAACCGCTCGATCCGAGGTCCGGACGGGATCGAATCATCGTTTTTTCCGCCTACCCTCCGGCGACAGTGGACGTTTCAATCAACGACTGTTTGGGTAAAAAGCTAATCGGCAAATGAAAACGTTTCGACTGTACGCGTAAATGTGACGTTTCGAAAGGATAGGAACGAGGGAAAAAAAGCATCCGCTACAAGCTACCCTCTCGCTATGTAATTCCCTCTGATTTTCCATTCCCTTTTGCGCCCTCGTTCGTCTTGTTACGAGGAAAAGTTTGCGCGACCCTTTCGTGTCGAGGACACGCGTAACACCGAGTAAACTCGACAAAAAAAAAAGGTGAGCCAACCTTTCCTGCTTACGATTAATATTTGCCACGCGGTCTTGAGGGTCGAGGCTGAGGAAACACGGTTAAAAGGGTGGATCGGAGGCACGAGAATGGGGTGGGTGGGGTCGAATTCCTAAGAGTATCTTGCAAGAATATTGGGATTCCAGAGATTTCGAATACTAATTAGTTGAAAGGATTTATAAATACTGACAAGGGCAACTACCCAAGTGTTACACTCACTTATTAATGAAACTTTGCCAGCTTGTAAAGCTCGTCGAGCTGAACACGCCTATACCCCTTTTTGGGAGCAGACGGCTAATTGTTTAAAAGATATTAACAATTACAGTTAGTTACTCCTTACATTCTGAAGTATGACAAACTCACCCATAAAAGGTTCAAATCCTTCGTTCCCAACATTTTTTTTTTCTTTTAATGATAATTTGTCTCTTTTAGAATAACTATTACATAAAAAATATCATTAAAGAAAAAAAAAATTGTTGGGTACCAAGGATTTGAACCGAGGACGTTCAGATTGCGAGTCATGGATCCGCTCCGTAGTTGAACACTTGACTCGCAATCTAAAGGTCCTCGGTTCAAATCCTTGGTCCCCATTTTTTTTTTTTTTTTTTTTTTTAAATGATAATTTGTCTCTTTTTGAATAACTTAAATTCTATAAAAATTGCAGTGTATGTAATTATTAATAAATGCAATGATTATAACACAGCTGTAATAGTTATTCAAAAAGAGACAAATTATAATTTAAAAAAAAAACTTAGGAACCATGGATTTGAACCGTGGACCTTTAGATTGCGAGTCATACTGTCATACTTCTCAATGTAAGTAGTAACTAACTTTAATTATTAATATCTTTTAAACAATGAGCACCAATTAAGCATCAGTTAGTTGGAGATTTGTTCTCCATAAACCACCCTTATATAACTTCATTCTGAAACATCATTTGAATTCGTAAAATTTCAAGAATTTCAGGATTCTTATATCAGGAGATACTTCTGTGAACCCGCGACCTGACCCCAAGAAAAATTCCCGACCCGACCGAACCGGACATTCCCTGGTTCTCGCGCACCCCTAATGGTCCGAGTTTGCAGTCGGTCGAATATGGTCGGTGGACACGGTGCTTTATCCGATCCTCGTATTTTTCAACGTTCGACGGGCCAAACGGTGGGATATTAGATATCCGGTTATCGGACTGCAGTCATTTCCGATCTGCATCCAGTTACTATTTTCCCCCATTGGTCGTTTCGCGAGCGAGCAGATAGACGGCGAGAAAGCGAGAGAATAAACGATCGGTCAGTGTGATTTGTTCGTAACAGGGCCGCGAACGATAGGGACGGAGGAATCTAAATTGCGATCGTTCCGCGCCCGCTAGACCGCGATTTTTAATAATGTCGTAATACCCAGCCGACGGGAATCGAAACTGGTACCCCGGACGTTTCGTCGCGAATGAGGAGAACGCAATAATCCAAAGCGGTGACAAAAAAGAGATACCAGCCCGGTGTCTCGGTTACATTCAACCAGACCCGTAGATTTATCGTCGTTATTAAAACAACCGTCGCGATACGAGCACGCGGAGGGAGGAAGCGTGCGCATTATTCAGCGAGAAACAAAAGAAGTCCGGATTAATCGGTAATTAAATCGACGCCGGGCAACCGTAATACCTCCGATACTGTGCCGTTCCTTTTTTGTTCACAGTTTCTTTCTACGGTGTCGTTATTGCGGGCCGTTTCGACGTTATTGTCCGATCGGTTCAATATCGGCTTCCGTAGATTGTCGCGATTTTAATAGGATCCAAGAGGTAACAAGAGATTTTCTTAGAATTCATTGAACGGTTCAATTTTATAATTTCAACCCTTTACTTAAGAATTCGAGGTATTCGTCAGAGAATCGTTCTTCTGTAATCGCAGGCTAAACGTCGAAACGTTATTCCAAAAAGGTAAAGCATTCAGGTTGCACCTGTGTTCGGCCATTATTCAACGAACAACCGTCGCAGAAATAATACTACGATCCTGGCCACATTACAAACTGCCTTCCTCGATTCCTCCACCCCCGCCACGGCGGGTCGGTGGCAGGTGAATTCCTCGGTTCACCGTCGAAGGGATCGATGCCGGCCGCGCAGGCCTGCACGAAATCGGCGTCGGACGTAACGAGAAGAAAATTCAGCGCCGCGTGCGGCTGATTTATACAATAATAACGTAAGCAGCACACGGTCGAGCGTAATGGTCCACGATGTTACAGAGGGAAGAAGGGTGAAGCGCGGCGAAAGAGTGAGAGGGGGATGAGAGGTCATAACGTTAGGGGTGAGAAGAATGAACGGTATGGCAAGGCCGGTGTATCACGGCATTTGGTCGTATGCCAGTTTACTAGAGGATACGAGTCGGATGGCACCGAAATAGAACTGGCTTTGAGGTTGCGCCACGAACAGAGATGGAAAAATGGAAGGGTAAGAAACGGAAAAACCGTGGCGGTTGCTTCCGACGCTAGGAGAGACAAAAGGATGGCAATATACGGAGCTAGCATAACCGCTTTCATCTGCTACGTCGACATAGTATGTCGGATAAAAATGCAACTCCCACCAAGTCGTTTCGCCGCAACCTTACGAGCCTCGCTGCTCGTTCCACGCGTCCTCTTCAAGGAGAGTCGCCTTATGCGCACCATTCAACTCGCACCAAGCAAAACCCCATTGGCTGCAGATCGACCGTACGCCAGCCATCTACGAGGGTGTTTCTTAAATTAGACGCTTCCGCATTACTACCGGCGACGTGGAAACTCTAAGAAATGATTTTTCATTTTTTGGCGAATCTTGAAAGGGGTGAGTTGTAAGTTCATAACTAATTTTAAGATCAAAGTGAAATCTTTAGTGTAAAGAATTGCAAAGTGAATTTTATATAAAATTCTTCGCTTTTTTTCCCCCGGTTTCGTTAACGAAAGGTATAACGAGACTTCAACTTTCCTCGTTCGGTCGTGTTTCTTTGGAATAACAGATGAAGGATACTTGCTAGCACGTTTCGTTCGAATTCAAGCTTAACATTTCCCGGAGATAGAGGAAAGTTCCGTTAAGGAAGTTCGTTCTACGCGTCGAGAGGAAATTGAAAAAGTAACAAGAGAATCAGTTTTCACGGTGTCGTTAAACATCGTTTACCGGTGCTCGTTTACTCTTTCTCACGCGTCGCGTCACCGGAACACCTCTATCTTCCTGTTAGAAACAGACAGGCAAGTTCCTCGATGAAAGCGCGATGAATAAACTGAACTTCCTTTCGCCTCCAATTGGAAAAGTTAAAACAGAGGAAAAAAAAGAGAACAGAAATAATTGACGGGATTGTTTATCTCTACGCCATTCCAATTACTTTCCGATCGAATTATTCATCCTTTCTTTTTTGCCATAGAAATAACAATGATTATCCAAGGTATTTATAGAAAGTTACAATTAAACGTGTGATAAAGCAAACAATTGATCGTAAACCGACGGAGATTTCCATTGGAGCGTTTCAATATTGACGTCGTGGAGAAGCCATTAATTTTTCGCCTGGTCCAATACGAAAATGCTTGCCGTCCGCTTTTTTAATCCGATTTTGTTTATCGAGAAAAGTCGAATATCGTTCGTGGGAGACGGCATATACACACGGTTATCCGTCGAAGCGGATTACGCGGATCGCCAGAGCGAAAGGGTTCGCGATTTTTCGCCAACTTTTCGACAACCGACGACACTTTCGAATTCGTCGAATACCGAGCAATTAACCTGCCGTCCATCGATTATTCCGTCCGATCGACGCGAAAAACGACCCGGTTTTTCAATCGACCGTACACGATCGCGACTCTTTATTCGTACATTTATGACGGAATTTTAAAACACTCCCTGTTGAGAGTAGAAGGAGAAAAAAAAAAGAAGAGGGGTAGAAAAAGCGTTCTCGCAGTATTTTCCACTTTCAATCGATCGAAAGGTTTTAAAGCGAATTCAGCGAGACAACGTGGAAAGCTGTTTAAAATGAAATTGCTGATGTAAAGCCCGCTGTTTTACTGCCCTCTCTTTTTTCATTGCATTATTCGTATTTCCTTTAT